AAACAAACCTCACTGCTAACCAACACTAATTTTTATCTCCTCCTGAACTCAAGGTGTCTTCCCTTTGCCTCTAATCCACCTCTATTCCTTTCATTCATATTGTCTAACTTAGTTGGCAACCACTGCTTTTCCATCAGTGCCTTGGCCTCTGCCCCAGGACCATAGCCTTGCTTGCATCCAGTGGCGTGTCTCACTGTCGAGGTTGTATTATCGTGATTGTTTTCAAATGACTTTTATATACATTGAACTTGAGCCAAGTTCAATGGGTGATTACTACTAAGGGCCTTCTCATATTCTTTGCGATCTGATTCTTTCGTCTCTCCTGTTCACGTCCACTTCTTCCCTTTTCTACTTTCCTGGAAGGTTTTTTTTCCCAAAGAACAGACTTTAAACAGATGCCCCCTTCTCCCCATCCTCAATTCTGTTTCTGCAAGCTAAGTTTCTACTCCGATCTCAGTTGATAGCTCCTCAAAACTATGGTAGAATATATTAGTTTGTGGTTTCGCAGATGTTTGCTCATTCCCTACCTTGAGGGCAATGATGTAATTGATTCTGGATAATAGGATGTGAGTGGGTTTAACACGAGCAGAGGCCCTACTAGGCTTGCTCTGTGGCCCTGGACTATGGCGGTTCGACCAACACTTATGAATGGCATAAGCCAGGAAAGTCGCCATTCCATCTCCTGGTGTGGCTAGCCTGGTGCTTCACAGACGAGGTAAGGACAAAATATGTGCAGGTGAAATAGAGTCTCACTGTTGTATGCCACTGGTCTCATGGCTGCTACACACCAAGATTTGCTGCTACCTGGGGTCACATTAAATGGTAAGCTGAGCTTTGGTGTTGAGTAACTGAGGTACAATCACCTAGAACATGAGATATTTACAGGAACTGATCTCCGAGTTACTGACTGAGACTGAAAATCCGTGATTCTCAAGGCTTCTACTTCTTGGGGTGCATTCCCAGAAAACTGCTAGTCTATCAAGTGGACACTAGAGGAGTTTAGAGAAAGCACAAGACACTCTAGAGTCTCCTCGATTAATTTTATTTTAGAAAGCAGACAGAGCCAGCGTCGAACTTTGACAAGACTATTAAAAGGAAAAAGCAAGTCAGTAAAAAAGGGTACATGCCATGCAGATCATAAGAGGTTCCACATATTCTGAACTTCTAAGGATAGCATACCTTTGGGTTTTAGCATAAAAATATGTAACAAAAAAGCATACAAAAGTTGAGTAAAAAGTAACAATTAGAGTTTTTAAGTAATAAAAAGATATATCCCCCTCTCCTACTCCATTGTGCCATTGTATCTCCTTGAGTGATTCTAATTTTATAGGGAGATCCATATTTCACACCCAAGGCTAGAATTATGGCACATTCAAAATCATGTCTGACCTTGATATATCATGGTAATATGTGCTTTTAAGGCACACACACATGAAAATCTTATTAATGGCAGGACTTTAATGTTCTGTACCTTCTTGAAAATCAGACTGAGTATCTTGTATGCCTTTATCAGTCACTTACATAAAAATTCCCTCTGACTCTGGACAGTTCCTTTAGTTTGCTTACCCTTTGCATGCATGCCAAGAAACCATTTCCATGAGAACCAGTTATACCCCCAAATTAAATTTACTCAGCAGCAAAATTAGTTCATGCACGTATATCGAAATTATTTTTGAGGAGAACTTCAAAATACAAGCAGAAGCTTGTCATCCAGGTAATATTTTTAAGAAGGGAATGTTCTTATGCAACATGACTAAAATACCCTGGGGAACTCTGAAGTCATTTTTTCATTAAATAGAGCTGAAATTATGTGAACAAGTAGAACATGGGCAAGAAAGAGGAAAACAGAGTTTAGAACACTGGGGAATGGGAAACTAGACTGTGAGAGGAACAGAGATTTGTTCAAGGTTACCTACCAAGTGAGGCAGGGAAAAGCAGATGGGGCTATGTGAAGAAGCAAAGGCAGTTACGGAAACGGCTGCACACTAAACCTGACATTTTCAATAGACACTGCAGTCACACTTATTCTATCTGGAAGAAAATATTCATATTTATAAAATTCCTCCAGAGTTTAGCCAAGTATTACTCTTTAAATCTGTCACTTTAAAAAGTATAAACATTGTTACCAATTAGAAGTTAAACAATTATGATTTTATTTTTCTATATAAAACCTGTTATAATTTCCTTAACATTCTCTGAGGTTTTCATAATAATTTATGTCTTAGGGGATTATATATCTCCAAAAAGAGAGTAAATACGTTGCTTAGGAACATACCACCATGCAAATTGCTATGGTTTCATCATTCTGAGCTGTTCAAAACACTTCACCATAGACCTTACACTTCAGAAATCAAAAAGAGGTTTGTACTTAGTGCAGAAAATGTGATCAAATGGGAAGCTTTGGGAATAATCAAAGTTGGGTACCAAGCTGACATTTAGCAGAATCAGAGCAACTGGGCTAATTCATTATATGTGACTGCTTTTACTAGCTAATCAATTGGGGCATCTGTATAACATCTTTATTTAGATCCTATTGATAAGTCATTTTCACATGCCAGCATCTCAAAGTGAAGCCGTGAGATCCCTAACAGAAAGCGCTGGACTATTATTGATTCAATACAAAGAGTAGTCCCCTTTGCCAAACCAAGTCCCTGCAAAGCACAGCATCTGTGCTAATGTCAGCTGTCAACTTGACACAGTCCAAAGTCACCTGAGGGATCCTTAGTTGAGGGAATGCCCAGATCAGACTGGCCTGTGGCCAGGTCTGTAGGGAATTGTCTTGACTGCTGATGGACGTGAAGGGACCAGCCTAGGCAGACAGACCTAAGCTGTTTAAGAAAGTTAGCCGACCATGAACTGGGGAGTCAGGAAACAGCGTTCCTCCATGGTTTCTGATTCAACTTCTGCCCTGCTCTGAATGCTTTCAGTGATAGACTGTGGTCTTCACTGTGTAAGGCAAACAACTCCCCTCCTTCCCATCTTGTCTTTGGTGTTTTATACTAGCAACAGAAAGGTGGCGAGAATATTACTTTTCTGTTAGCAAACTACTTTCCGGCTTTGTCAAATATTTTATGTCAAACATGTTTGTTTATAATATTAAACTCTTTAATATATTGATCCCTATCCTGCGGAAAGTTGGAGCTTCTGTGGCAAGCTCTCTTTAGGAAAATTCCCATTACTTTGGGGGTATGTAATGGGGTGATGTAAGCAAGCTTTGTTCTGAAGTTGAGAGGATTACTGTCAGAGAGGGAAGGGGGGAAGACACACAAGGAGCATCAAGGTGTGAGTTGAAAAATCTTTAAACGATAGTAAGGGCATTTAAGTTTATTTATTGTTCTGCTCATTGCTCAGAATACATCAGTGAGCTACTGAACCTCCTTAAGATTCCCTTTCCCAATTTTTAAAATATAAAAATTGACAGATCATCCTTCATTTGTTAGGAGAACTAAATTGTATCCATTTGTTAACTACTTACCACAATGCTAGGTATTTGTGAGAAGGTAGAAGGAATGATCAAAAACGTAGCAGTCACCAAGCGACTTTAACATAGTACTTCACCTCCTCTTCAGAGCCCTAACTTTCTAAGACTGCTTGATTCATGCCAGAGAGTTTAAACACATTCCCCCCCCCTCAATCCACTATTCTTGTGTAGGAAGATTTGAGCTAGTTCAAAACTTCAGGTGGTTCAGCATTAAGCCAAGACTGCAACTCTTTCCGTTCTGACCCCGAGTCCCAGGTTAGTCAGGAGTTCTGTAATCAAGTCCCAGCATTGTATCCCAGTTCTGGCGTGGCATTCCCTTGCATCCAAATCCTGGCTTGTGGGACCTGTTTGGGACCTTCGGTTTGTGAGGGTTGTAGTTCCCAAAAGGCGGCCTATGAACAAGGCAAACTTTGCAATGTGCTGTTTAAGCCTCGGAAATTATTAATAGTTGTCTCTAGGAATTAAAAATACTTACATAAAGATGTATATTTCCAACATCTCTTGCAAAATGACGTAAATTGGCAAAGCGGCCCCAAGTAGCTGTTGTCCTCCTTAGAAGGCCGTGTACTTTGTATTCCCCATAGTCCCCTGCTCCACTTGTGTCTAGGATTTGCTTGGTGGCTCCAGGCACATAGGGTTGGGCTCTGAGTCTGAGAACATCTGGTGGGTACCAAATACCAGCTTTGCGCCATTGCTGCTACATGTTTTGCACACTTAAAAACCAGAAATCTGTTCCTGTCACTTATTCCACTGGTTCCTCTTCCTTACTCCATACTGTCTCTTTGCCAGGATAGATGGCTATCTTTCAGTCCCTGGTCACCATCACTCCTACATCTGCCAGCTCAAAGTACTCCCAGAAATCCACAATCACGTCAACCATCCTCTCACATTGAGTCTACTGCCAGTCTCGGGATCTAGACTCTCTCCTTCAAGTCTTTGGCCACCATAGTGGTTATGCTCCTGTGTTCAGGCTGTTCGCATCCTGTTATTTCATCTCCACTGGGGCTCCTACTAAGTCATACTTCACATTTTCACACATCTGAATATATTATTACAGAAAACGCCATCTGTAAAATTTCCCCTCTGGTTTTTATCGGGAGCCACAAATAATTTATCCACCATTTATTGATTAACTCGGTTGCGGGCTCTGCAATGGAAATTGATCTGAATGTTTGTTGAGGCAGAAACACAGTGATGTTTGCCATGCCTACTACTAGCATTTCAATCCTTTTCCAGCTGAGCACATAGCACACAAACAGTATTTTAACAGACTTGTCTATACTTTCTCTCCCTCCACATGACTGACCACTCTGCTTTACAAAATACAAACAAAAAAGAGAAACATTTGTTTCCAAGCCAAGGTTCAGGAAATATCAAAACAAAGTTCACAAAACTAATTATGTATATCATTTTATCATAGTGTCTGGGTTGACTAGAACTAATTACACAGTGACTGTTAAATTTAGCTCATTGGGTGTTACCAGACTTTTAAAATAAAGCAAATAAAAGTGGTACTTACATAAGGAATAGTGTCCAAAGTATCTGTGTTGACAATTATAGGAGCAGGGCTAGCCTAAAAAAAGGAAGAGAAAAGAGATTAAACAACCAATAATCTGTCTAGAGACCAATTCTGCAACCATGTTTAACAAAGAAACCCACAAGCATTTCCTGAGGTCTGGTACCTGCTCTGGGCAGATGTTGGAGACTGAAACAGGAAGACTGAGTTTTCGCATGTCCCCGCATGTCCCCGCATGTCCCCGTACTTCGAGTACCTCTTTACAAAGCTTAATAAAGTAAATTAAGCACTTGCAGAAATCACATCAATTTTCTCTTTAATTGTACACAACAGCAGTAGGGTCTGTGCTTTAGAAGAGGTAGGAATGCCTATTAAATTGGGCAGAAGTTGAAGTGTGCCATTTCCCTGAAAAAATGAATTTGCTGAAGAAATTTGATTTTTCTCTCAAGTAAGCACAATCAAATCTCAGCCAATATTTAAACTGCCATATGACAGTATACTTACCTAATGCAGGAAAGGTTCACTTACTAACATTTGTTTACTACATATGTTGCATCATTATTTTACATTTATGTATCTAGGATCATGAATACTAGACAAAAAATTAAAAAATCAGAGATTCCAGAAAATCATATTTGATATGGTAAGCTTCCTTTTCCAAAACCATTTGTGCATTTTCCAGCAGTCCCCTTTAAAGCTGAAGGGAGCCTGTGAAGACTGATATAGGAGAGCTACAAGACTACCCATTAGAATATAAGAGATGGCAATCTATTTGCGTCAACAATCCGACTTCATGAATATTGAGTAGACCTATCTCTATTTTCAAGTTTGTAGAATGTTCACATCAACCTTTCCATCATTCCCCAGAGGATCTTTAATCTCCATTCCGAATTACAGATTTCATTTAGATAGTGGAAATGCCCTCATCATGATTAATTGAGAGCTGTCCTACGTGACACGGTATCTTGGCAAGTGCTCAACTTTTGGGACATTTCATTAGCTGTGCCCTCTGGAGTTAATGGAGTTAACAGCATTTCTAATGTCAGTCTTTGCCAGTGGAATCGTAACAAATTTTTTTAAGGCATTGCGGTGGGCTTTCCATGACAAAATTATGTTTCTCAGCTTAGAAGACCAGTATTGGTGAGCATAAATGTGATGTGTATGTTTACACAGCAGGTCAACCGGATCATGGTGTGTTACTATCAGTAAATATCTTGTGGATGAATAGAGACTTTGGGGCAAGGTGGATCACATATATGCAAACCTAAAAATGCCATCTGTAAATAGCTTTTTGTACGGGAAAGAGCTTCTGATTCAGAGACACGGGCTCAACATTGGCTTAGCAACTTCCCCACCAAATGCTCTGGGGACTACACAACTTCTTGGAGTTGTACCCCTGTGTTAGGACTCTCTGGCTCATTCACCTCTGTGGGGCAGAAATAACAGTCATCACGTTAAAAAATGTGAAAGATCAAATGAGGATGTGAATTTGAATACACTTTATAGACTGCATTTCAGGATTAATGCCAAATATTTCTAAGTGTTCCTAAGTATTATAAATACACACACTCTCATATATGTGATGGCTGGTAATCTACTCAAACTTCAGAGCTCTCAGTGCTATGGTAGTTTGTAGTTATAACAATGTCATTGCCTATTAAAGATTTTATATAAATATATATATTAATAGACATATATATATATAAATTTATGTATGAGTACTGATAACACATTCACATTTAATTCCCAGAAAGACATACTTCCATACTTATAAGACAGCATTACTACTATACCCGTGTAAAGATGAGAAAACTAAAGTTAAGGCAAAATGAGAACTGAATTGCAAACACTGACTTATTAGGGTATCAAAAAGTCACTGTTTCCCACTAAGCAGCTACCAAATGCTGGCGCTTTGGTGACTCTATCACAAAGCATCTAAGATCTCTATTCTAGAGCATCACAGGAGAAACAGACAAGGCAAAGGCTACTTGGATGAAGGGATGCCTCACAGTTTTGCAGACTAGATATTGAGAGCAAGCTGATGAATCCTCTATGCTTTTTATTTGGTTCCTATGATCCACAAAAGAGCCTTGTCTCATATCTTCACGTCAATTGAAAACTGCCTACCTAGCACACCTGGTCTTTGTTACCAAGCGTAGCATTGATTACTAAATTTACACGACCTGATCTGGGGCTTTTATTTAATTATTTTCTGTTATAGGTTACATTTTATGCTACATGAATAAATTTGAGAACCCACTTCCTATGCACTGTTATCTATAACTTTCTGTTTATGCCACTTTCCATTTCCCACATGCAAATTTGGTCTTTGCAAGAAGATTCTATATTTAAAAATTAACAAAGATTATATACTACTCTAGAATTCTCTATTTGAATTGTATATACAGAAGAAAACAAGAATTTTTATTATGACTATTATTAATCGTGTAGTGTCAAATATAAAAACCATGTCTTTACCCAGAGAAGTGTCCCCTACCACCAGGCTACACACCCAGTCCTACTTAGGAACTGATGACTGAATGTAACTGTAAAGTACAGACAAAGCCTCGAGGAAAAGCATCATATATCATTACAAGCTATACCAGGCATTTCCAAGATACCAGTCTGCCCCCATGCTAATATCTGAGTCACTCACAAAACATTTTTTCATTTCGGCTTCTGTTTCCCTGTTGACTTTGGCAAGGGTCAGAAGTCAAGCCTGGATTGATGTGGTTGGGTTTCTGAGTTTTAGAAATCAGTACCCTGGTTGAGTTGATGGTTCCCTCTAAGTTTCTTTTCCACACTCCCCCACATAGACACACTTATTTCATAGTAGATATCCTCCTTAATTGAACCCATCAATCAAACCCGTGACTCAACACACTCCAGCCTCCCGTTCCCATATGCTTAATTTCCACGCACTGGAAGGAGACTCATAACAAATCTGGAGAGAGAAAAATCATTTTCTTCTCATCGGTGGGTTTAAGCCTGGTGTTTATTTAAACCTAGGCAGGCCTTTTAAAACTTTAAGAGATTAACAAGAGCAGCCTTTCATGGATGACCTGAACAGTAAAGGGCAAGTGGTTTTCCCTTGTCTTTGCATTCTCTCGCATGTGGAGAAAGCCAGTTTACAGCAGGAAAAGATGAAGCCAATCACAGAGAATCAGAAGCTAAACTGTGAATTATTAGATCAAACTGATTCATCCACTGCAGCTTCCTTTCTGTCACTGTGTTTCACACGCTACCCAAGCATTCCAGAATTATGGTGGCTACATTGCTTTCACCAGTAAAAGAAAAGCTGGACTTGCCACAAAGAGAACCACATTCATAAGGAAGTCAACACAGCGAAAGTATGCTTGCCAGAGTTCATGACGGTCCTGGTCAGCGCTGCCACTGCTGGGATAAAGCACCATGCTCAAGGCAGCTCGGGGAGTAAAGGGTTTATTTGAATACACTTCCACACCCCTGTTTATTGTTGAAGGAAGTCGGGACAGAAACTTAAACAGGACTGGAACCAGGAGGCAGCCGTGGGTGCAGAGGCCATGGAAGATCACAGCTTATTAGTTTGTTACCTATGGCTTACTCAGCCTCGTTTAAACAGAACACAAGACCACCAACCCAGGGCGAGCCCAACCAGTCATGGGTCGGGCCCTCCCATATCAGCCACTAATTAAGAAAATGTTCTACACGCTTGTCTACAGCATGATTCTATGGAGGCATTTTCTCGCCTGCAACTCTGTCATCGTCAACAACTCTAGCTTTGGTCTAATTGACATAGAACATGCTAACACAATGGTGCTCATCCTTGATGCTGTCTACACTTGGATGTTGCTAATTGCCAGTTCTGTGAAATATATCTGATGTAAGTAAGCAGGTAGTTTCAGACTCCCTACAGGGAAGAAATTTTCTCAAACAAGGTTTTGGTAGGGAGTACAGTTTCTGGAGACCATTTTGGATGTCAGGGAGCTAATCCCTGGAAGTGTGGGGTGCACAAGGTCAAAGACCGAATCCAGGCCTATTCTAACATTTCAAGATGAAACATAGAAAAGCAGAAAACAGTTATCTCACTAACTAGACTAACTAACTATCTTCAACAGTAAGATTTGCAGCATGAGAAACTTTGTAAGCATTTCAGCCTAGCCAGAGCATGAATATTGAAGGCAAGCAATTGCCAAGTTAAGAAGGAGGCAAAAATATGTCCAGAATATGAGCTGCTGTTCTGGCCTGGCATCTTGATTGTCTTCTCAGTCTTTCAGGACAAGACTCCCGAATGAGGACTGGCAAGGGCATAGTCCCTAAAATGACCTTAACATAAGCCATGGTGTGATAACTTGAAACCAAATGGAGGCTATTGGTGTGTATGTGTGTGTGTGTGTCTGTCTCTCTCTCTCTCTCTCTCTCTCTCTCTCTCTCTCTCTCTCTCTCTCTGTGTGTGTGTGTGTGTGTGTGTGTGTGTGAAAGAGAGATAAAGAAAGAAAGAGAGAGTATGTGCACTCACGTGCGCTCGCGAGATTTCCCTGAAATTTATAAACCTCTGAACTTCCGGTTACCCATCATCTCGCTGTCACTCACTGCTGCTAGTTACCCTGTTAGCTAACCTTTAGTTTCATGATCTGTAGAGGCTGCCAGCATAATGAGGCACAGTTTGATTACTGTTTGATCCAGGAGAATATTGTATATTCTGTCAGGTCTGAAATAAGACCTCAGTATTGAGGACTGGACGGGATATGCCACGGATTGATACTTAAGGTGCTATGTTTTGTGTTAGATTTTCCTAAGACCCTCCATTTAGCTGGCCTATATGGAAAGAGAAATGCTTGAAAAGAGAAATCTTTTCCCCTAAATTGTAGTTGTGTTCTCTTTTGAGATGAAAACTTTCTCTTCCTCCTCCTTACTTCTCCACAGTCTGCTGGGCTTGATCCCCACACCCCTGAAAATTCTCCGGTTTCTACTCCCAGTTGAAGGAAGTGTTTGGAACCTATAATTACCATCAGTTGAAGCATTCCAGCACCACCACTCAGCCGTATCTAGCCTCTTGCCCTTTAAGAGAGGGAGGC